CCCAGTCTCTATAAAAGACTCTCCCTGCCCCGGCTGTATTGCTTTTGTCTCTCCTTTGTTCAGAGACAGCCCGGCAGATCTATTCCCCTAATAAAGGCTTGTTGTGGCCTGGTCTGGTCTTGGTCTTCAGCCTTTTACTGACACATATTTTTTGTAAATAAAACACTGCCCCACCTAAACAAGCTCTCTAGCTTCAAAGAAATGTACTTACTAACAAACAGAAAGATCCCTCTGCCAAATTCTACTCCTCAGCTTTCCCTTTGGTATTAACTTTCTACATCTTGGTCTGCCACCCATAAAAGTTGAGTTTTGTGAAAACAAGATGATGCTGTATTTATTTTTGCAACTTCTTGTAACCAATTGGTGGTCATCTTGGGTCTCCTTCTGGAGGGATACGCTCAGGTACGTCTCACTGATGGTATTGGCTATATGGTACCTTGCAGCCTAGATATACCTGTATTAGTTATTAATTGCTGTGGAACAAACTATCGCCAATTTTGCAGCTTATAAGAACATATGTTTGGTACCACACACTCTCCCTAGGTCAGAGTTCTTGGCTCCGGATTTCCCATGGCTAAAATCAAGGTATCTCCAGGGCTGACTTTCCTATCTGAGGCTTTAGGGCTTCATCCAGTCTTTTTCAGGTTGTTGGCAGAATTCGGAGGCCTGCAGCTTGTAGAACTGAGATCCCTTATGGGCTGTCAGCTGGGAGCTGCTCTTAGCTTCCAGAAGTTTGTTACATTCTTTTCTATATAGTCCCCTCCATCTTCAAAGGTAGTAACAAGATATCTCCTCCATGACTAATGCCCCTCAAACAACTAATTTCTTTCTTTGTTTTTTTGCGGCAGTACGGGGGATTGAACTCAGGACCTTGCAGTTTCGAGGCAGGCATGGCACCACTAAACTAAATTTCCAGCCCACGATGAATTTCTTTTAAGGAAGAGCTCAGTTCTTCTTCAAGTGTCACCTGATTAGGTCAGGCCCACTCAGGATAACTGTGCCAGTCAAGAGTTTGTCTTGGTGGTGGTAGAGTAGGCATTATTTATACAGAACATTCATTTCATTTTATATTAAAAATACAAACCAAACCAAACCTTGAGCAACTTTCCACTGGTTCATCTAACATAGCCTAATTTTGGGAATGAAATTCATAATACTCACAAGTTCCATGCACACACAAGAGAAAGGTCATAAATAGGGTTATTTTAGGATTACTCCTACTATAATACTATACAACTACTTTCTGGTATACAAACAACTAAGTTATTTCCTATATTTTGGTTTCTGCAATAGCTACAATTACAGTTCTTTTGCATTTATTTTGTATACTTTGTAACTATTTTAATTGGAAGTTATGAAAAGTGACATTTCTGGGTTGAACAATGATCGCACTTTTAATTTTTAAAAATGTGCATAGATTTTTGTTTTTAAAAAGTCTCTGGGGTCATAAAGTACAGGAGTCTTTTTAAAAATAAGCTTTTAGGGCTGCGAGTGTAGCTCAGTGGCAAAGCACTTGCCTGACATTCATGAGGCCCTGAGTTTGATAACCAGTGCCTTAAAAATAAAATAAAATGAACTTTTAATTGGGAATACTTTTGAAAAATCCCATATGCTATGCAGGCACTCTACTACTGAACTACACCCCCAGTACATACCATACACTTTGGAAGGAAATCACTGTATATAGCCCACACTTATGAAGCAGGGCATTATGCTCTACCTCATTGAGAGCAAACTATAGACGTAAGTTATTTAGAGTTCTGCATAGATTTGCTTATTTTCTTTGATTTATCAACATGATCATTTATTAATATTAGTATGGAACCTGGATATTTACTTAATACTTTGGATTCTAACTTTGGATTGACATGATTATTTGTATGATTGGGTGTTAGTCTTTTACCCTGATGGGTGATAATATTTATATATATAAACATTTCCACAGTCTCTTTATTATTCTCTGGTATAGTATAATTTTTTCTAACTTTAGTAGTAAGTTTAATTCCCTGTTTGAGAGAGAGAGAGAGAGACAGGGAGAGAGGCTGAGGATTGAACCCAAGGTCTTGCACTGAGGTACATCCCTGCCCCTTTTCTAAAATTTTGAGACAGGGTCTTGCTAAATTGTCCAGCCTGGCCTTGAAGTTGCGATCCTCCTGCCTCAGCCTCCTGAGTGGCCAGGACTAGGCATGCACCCAGCCTCCCTACTTTTTGTTGCTTAAATCAGGCCAGCTTTGACTATTGCTATTCTTTCAGTTAATACTTACGTCACTTTGAAAGATCTCATCTTTTGCTTGTCTTTTTTTTTTTGGTACCAGGGATCAAACTTGGGTCCTTGCGCTTGTGCAGCAGGCGGCGAAACCACTGAGCTAAATCCCCAGCCCAACTTGTCTTTTTGTTTATATTACTGTTTTGTTTTTGGACCGCTACCTCTCTTTTGGCACTATGAGATACCTCAGGTTCATCTTGCATACAGTCATGTGCTATATAATGACATATTTATTTATTTATTTATCTATTTATTTATTTAGAGACAAAGTCTTGCAATGTAATTTGGGCTGGCCTTGAATTGGTGTAGCCTAGGATGGCCTCGAACTCATGCTGATCCTCCTGCCTCAGACTCCTGAGTGCTGGGATTACAGGCATGTGCCACCACTCCCAGCTCATGATGATATTTTGGGCAAGGACAGATAGCACATACATTGATGGTCCCATGAGATTATAATAGAACTGAAAAATTTCCATAGCTGAATGACTTTGTAGCCACTATAATGTCATAAAGTAACTCATCACTCAATTGTGATTCTGGTGTCAACAAACCTACTGTACATTAACAGTCATATAAAAGTATAATACATACAATTATGTATAAGATAATATTTAACAATGATAAATGAATGTGTTACTGGTCTATACTATAGTCACACAGCATACTATGGTTTTGCCCATGTTTACTGGGTTGTCTTTTTCTTATTGGTTTCTAAAAACCATTATATATTGTTATGAACCTTTTATTAAATAGATAGTCCCCAAATTACAATTTTGATCTTTATGATAGTGTGAAAATGATATGCATTGAATAGAAACCATACTTTGAATTTTTCTCTTTTTCTGGACTAGCAATATGTGGTATGATACACTCAGCTACTCTCAGGTATAATACACAACTCCCAGTCAGCCCGATGATCAAGTGGGTAAACAATTGATTCTACAGTGTATTGTGTTGCTTAGTATATTTGGTAGGTATTAAATGTATTTTCAATTTAGGATATTTTCAATTTATATATTTGGATATTTTAAATGTATTTGTTGGTTTATTGGATTATAACCCATTGTAAATCATGGAGTACCTGTAATGTAGTCCTAGGCTGTCATTTGTTTAAAATCATTTTTTTAACCCAGCTGTAGTGGCACAGACCTGTAATGTCAGCACTCTGGGAAGCTGAGGCAGAAGGACTGCAAGTTCAAGCCCAGCCTGGGCAACTTAGCAGACTCCCCCATCTCAAAATAATAGAAAGGGCTGGGAATGTAGCACAGTGTGAAGGCCCTGAGTTCAAACTTCAAAACTGAAATCCCCCGAACCCAGCAAACAAAAACTTGACTTTTTTGGTGGTATTTTTGTCAGTTTCTAAGCTAATGTCTTGTAGCCTCAAACCTTCCATTCTACACTGCTCTCCAATGCTGGACTGAAACTGCAAAGCTAATTATCCTTAGTCAGCTGGCTTCTTGCTAAGTCTTGCCAACAGGGACAATAGAGAAAGACTAGAGGACAGGGGAAAGAGTGAGGAGGGAGCAGCTTCTTCCTGTTTTGCTTGATCCTCCTGTTAGTGTTGATTGAGCATTGACTCCTTACCATGAAGGCAGCACTGGGTGCCAATTTTCAGTTTCTTGTAGCCATCCCAGAATAAATCTCACTGCAACTCTGGGAAGGTCCAGTCAGGTTGTAACCAAGGTAGGCAGAATAATGGCCCTCCAAATGTTTCAGTCTCCTAATCTCAGGAACCAGTTCAATATGTTATCTTACACTCCATAACAGACTTTGCAGATTTGCCCAAGGTGAGATGGGAGATTATCTGGACTAATCTGGCTGAGTCCAAGCCATCACAAGGGTCCTGAAACATGGAAGAGGAGGGCAAAAGAGTCAGTGAAGACAGTGATATGTGCAATGTACAAAGGACTCAGCTGACTTTGAAGATGGAAGAAGGAGCTATAAGCAAAAAAGTGTGGGTGGCCTCCAGAAACTGGAAAAAGCAAGAAAATGGATTTACCCCTAGAATTTCCAGAAAGGAACACGGCCCTTCTGGCTGCTTGATTTTTAGCTCAGTGAGTTAAGCCAAGAATGACTGTTGAGGCGCTTAAGAACAGCAATGCCCCTAGAGCATGGGATTCTAGTTGGTTCTGCCATTAACTAGCTGGCTCTGGGGGCAACATGGCCCCTCTCTGAGCCTCAGTTTCCTCATCCACTGTGTGCTGGGCATTACCCATTCTCATCACTGCAGAGCTTGAAGCAGAGAAATGAAATGATCAGATTTGTGCTGCAGAAAGATCACTCAGGCTGCAGTATGAAAAATGCATAGCTCTTTCTTATCCATATTTATCAAAATTTTACTAATCTTTTGAGCCCTAGTTAAAATTTTCCTTTTTGCAAGTTCCCTCCTCATCCAGACTAACCTCTTAGTCCAAGTTCTTCTGTACTTGGTGTTTCCCATAAAGCAGAGAGCTGCATACACCACAAACCCCTTGACATTGGGAAGCACGTTTTTCATCCTCATGTGCTCCACAGGGCTAGGCTTACACAAGCACATAAATGCATGGAGAATTATCCTGTGCACTAAAAAAAACATTTTAGTGGGACAGAGAAAGGAATAAGTGAGTCACTCGATACTCATTTGAGACTCAAGCCTTCTTTTGATAACAGAGTTTATCTGTAAGCCTCTAGATGTGTATGATTAAAGCACCACAGGATGTATTTTCCCTGGCTCTGAATGGTTCTGAGCTGCCTGGAGTGCTGATGTTGGATGGAACTGTCTGGGAAATAGGCCCTATTGTCATGAGGCTTTAATCATACCCTGCAACTCTGAAGCCTGAGTGCTTCCTTTTCACCTTGCACAATACATTGACAGCTTTGCCCTCACTGGACTATGGATAAATGAGAATGAGTGATAATGACCTGCTTTTTCTTTTCTTTTGAAAGTTTTGCCTCTTAAATATATCCTTCCCTAGTTCCCTGCAAGTCCATACTATGGAAATAAAAAGCTTTTATTGAACACCTATTCCACAGTTTGAAGATCTGTTCTTCTGTTTTGTAATTTAAAAAACTTATAGGAAAAAACCCCCAAATATTTATTACCATCTAAGGAAAGATTGGAAAATGCTTGTAACTTTTTATAGAGTCTAATTAAGAACAGTAAGCCTAAGTAACTCAGAGATTTCCCAAATAATTTACAAAAGAATTTTACCGAGCATTGAGTAACAAATTATTCACAAATAGTGATTGTCTCTGGGAGTGGGTGGGGACAGTGTTTAAGAAAGAATATGAGAGAACTTTCTATGTATGGACATAATCATACTTTATAATTAGACAGACACATATGAGAATACATTTGTTAAAGCAAAGACTTATTCTAGCAGCACAATATGATGATCATTATGCCTAGGAGGGTACAAATACAGGTCACCTTGAAATGTACTTGGCCCCTGCCGTGGTCACAGGTCCTGCTGCTCTCCGTCTACCTGCCAGTTGGAATATGACCTCCAACAGAGGAATAGATGGCAGAAAAAGATGTTCTGTTCTCCAAAGCTGTTGAGTGGGAAAATGTCGGAGAGGGAGGAATGGAACTGTGGAATGAGAAAGATACTAGGGAAGGTATATAATAAAAAATAGCTAACATGAACCACATTCTAAACTTGGGCATTTTATTTCTCTTCTAAGCCACACACCAAATAAGCAGCAAAGAGATGTGGATCAGAGCAGTGATTCTCAGTTAGCTGTGAGGTGGAACTCTATAGCTCTGAGAATTCCAGAGAATCATGGGGGGGGGGCGGTGTCTAAGCTATTTTCACATAATTCTAAGCTGTTGTTTGTCTTTTCATTTGCTTTCTTGTACAAGTGTACACTATAGTTTGCAAAGGCTGTATGACCTGTGCGGTTTTAACAAACTAAATGCAGAAGCAGGTTTGAGAATCCAGCTGATTACTTTTAAGCCAGACATTAAAGAACTTTGCAAAGATGTAATTTGAGATAGTGTCTCACTGGGTAGTTCAGGCTGGCCTTAAGCTCACTATGTAGCCCAGACTGGCCTGGAACTCATAGTGGTCCTCCTGCCTCAGCCTCCCAAATCCTGAGATTACAGGTGTGTGCCACCATGCCCAACCACAAAGATGTAAAATAGTGTCACTTTTCTTACTAAGGACCACGTCAATGTCACTCTTCTCACTTATTTTTTGTTTTAGAAATATATTTTTCATAAGGATGTTATTTATGTTAATGTGTAATAAATGTATAATTGTTTTTTTTTTTTGGAACCAGGGATCGAACTTGGGTCCTTGTGGTTGCAAGGCAGGCGGCAGAACCACTGAGCTAAATCCCTGGCCCCTGTATAATTGTTTTTAATGAGTCAATAAATGTTTAAAATTTTCTCACTTCAATTTCTAAAGTAGCAAAATTTGATTGATGTAACACACAAACAAATGCTCTCTGGGAATTCACAGAAATCTATTACAATTTTTAAGCTGGATGCGGTGGCACATTCCTGTAATCTCAGCATTTGGGAGGCTGACACAGGACTATCATGTTTTGAGGTCAGCCTGGGCTATACAGTGAGACCCTGGCTCAAAAAACAAAAAGTTTAAATTGAGGGGCTGGGGATTTAGCTCAGTGGTTCCACCGCCTGCCTTGCAAGCGCAAGGACCCCAGTTTGATCCCTGCTACCAAAGAAAAAATTTTAATTGAAGTGTAATTTATATGTAGTAGAGTGTGCACATTTTAAACACATTGCTCAAATACATGTATATATCATGTAATTTCTACTATTTCAAGATATAGACCATTTCCATCACTGCAGAAAAACATCATCTCAATCAATACCCAGTTCCCCAGAGGTGATCATTACTCTGATTTCCATCTCCACAGATTACTTTTGTTTGTTCTTGAACGTTACATAAATATAATCATATATTATATAGTCAAACTGAATATATATTTTGTTGTTGTTGAGGATTGAACCAGGACCTTATGCATGCTAAGCACATGCTTTACCAGTGAGCTATAGGCCCAGCCCTATGTCTGGCTTTTTTTTCTCTCTAAGAATAATCTTTTTGAGATCTTTCTATGGTTGGGCATGGTGGCACACTCCTATAATCCCAGCACTCAGTAGGCTGAGGCAGGAAGATTGCTGTGTTTGAGGAAAGCCTGGACTACATAGCGAGTCTGAACTACTTAGTGAGACCCTGTCTCAAAACAGCCAAAAAAAAAATTAAGTGAGATTTATCTGTGTTATTTTGTATATTAGTAGTTATTCATTATTACTGCTGGTAGTAGTCCACTGTATGACTATATCACAAATTGTTTTTATTTTCCTGCTGTGAATACTTGGATTTTGTCCTCTGATTGGTTTAGCATAGTTCTGGGTGTGGATGATAGATTTACTGATTTACCCTAGGTGTGGGTGGCACCAACCAATAGGCTAGTAGCCTGGATGAAATAAAAAAGGGAAAGAAGAAAGAAGTCATTCTGCTTCTTACCTCCCATGCCATGAACTATTTCTCTTCTGCCATGTCCCTCTGCTTTGCCTTCCTGCCTTGGAGCCAGCTGAGTATGGACTGAAACCTGTATAAACTGGGAGACAAAAGAAACCTTTTCTCCTTTAACTTGTGGGTGTTGGGTATTTCATTCTAGCAAGAAAAAAGTAACTAAGACATTTGCATTTTAAAATATTATTCTGAGTATCTTTTAATGTGCTTATTAGTCATTTTAATATCGTTTTTGTGAAATTTTTTCAGATATTTTCCTCTTTTTAAAATTGAATGTCTTAATAAAGAAAAAATGTAAAAATTGGATGTCCTTTGCTCATTGATTTGTAGGATTTTTATATATATATATATATTTTTTGGTACTGGGGATCAAACGCGGGACCTTGCGTTTGCGAGGTAGGCGGCAGGCAGAACCACTGAGCTAAATCCTTGGCCTCTTTCTGTATAGTTTGTATATAGACTCTTTATCATTCCATAGGTGGCCTATTTTTCTTAATGGTATTTTTGATAATTAAATGTTCTTAATTTTAATTAGGTACAATTTATCAATTTTCTTTTCTAGTTTAGTGCATTTTGTATAAGATTATCTTTATCTACCTCAACTCAATATCATGAAAATATTTGCCTATGCTTTATTTGGATGTTTTATTGTTTTAGCTTTTGAATGTAGGCCCTGAATACACTTAAAAATATTTTTTTGTGTGTGTGGTTTAAATTAAGGATCAGAGTTTCTTATTCTCCATACCCATCCCATTGTTCCAATACCATTTATTAAAATACTATCTCTCCCTACATAATTACAGAGGCATCTTTGATGTAAATTAAGAAGACAGATAGTTGTCTAATCCCTTGTCTGTGGTTTTGATTTCCCTAGTTTCAGTTATCTACAGTCAACATCAGTCTAAAAATATTAAATGTAAAATTCTAGACATAAACAATAAGTTTTCAATTAATAACTTTATTTATTTATTTATTTTTGGTACCAGGGATCAAATTCAGGACCTCGTGCTTACCAGGCAGGTGCTGTGTTGCTGAGCTACATCCCTGGCCCTTCAGTTAATAACTTTTACTATCATTCTGAGTAGTGGGATGAAATCTTGCACCATCCCTTTCCATCTTTCCTGGTACATAAATCATCCCTTTGCCCTGTATATCAATGTTTATACACTACCATCCATTAGCAGCCATCTCAGCAGGCCACTGTTGCAGAGTGCTTGTGTTAATAGTGGGCTCAAAGCAGAAGAGGAATGGTGTAAAGAAGGTACCAGAGCATAAAACACAGAATGACAGGTGAACTCTGGTACCATGTGGCAACATTGCAGGGCATGTAGGAAAAAACAGTACAGGTGCTCCTTGACTCACGATGGGTTAAGCCCTTAAAAAACCATTATAAGATAAAAGTGAAAAAATGTATTTAATACATCTAACCTACCAAACAGCACAGCTTAATACACAGCAGTCTGCATAGCATCATTGTTTACCCCTATGATTCTGCAGCTGACTGGGAGCTGGGGTTCACTGCTTATCTTGAGAGTGCTGTTCTGCATATTTCTATTCCAGGAAAAAGTTAAAATTTAAAGTATGATTTCTACTGAATGCATATTGTTTTGCACAACTGTACAATCAAAATATTGTAGGCTGAACCATCATTAATTTGGGGACTGTCTGTATATATCGGGTTGAGGACTATCCACAGTTTCAGGCATTCACTAGGGGTCTTATCCTCATGTGGATAAGAGGGGGCGACTCTGTATTTGAGGATCTACTTCTAGACACTTTCTTCTGTTCCAGTGGCCTGTTTGTCCATCCTTGCTCCAGAAGTACTCTATTTTAATTTTTAGCTTTATAATAAACCTTGAAATCTTGTGGTCAAGACCTCCAACTTTGTTTTTTGAATTTTATTCCCTTTGTATACCAATATATACTTTGGCTTAGTCATTGTTAAGAATATAAAGGAGGTGATTGTGGTACACACTTGTAATCCCAACACTCTGGGAGGCTGAGGCAGGAGGATTACAAGTTTGATTCCATCCTGGACAACTTAGTGACTTAGTGAGATGCTATCTCTGAACAAAAATTTAAAAGAGCTGGGGGTGTAGCTCAGTGCAAAGGGCTTAGGTTTAATCCCCAGTATTGGAAAATAAAAAAGATATCAAGGGGTCTAGGGACTAAAAGGTTTGAGAGCTGCTGATTTGGAGTATGGACTCAATAATAAGACCAGGATCAAATCTCATTTTCAACTGCCTATTAGCTGTGTGACCTTGGCACATAATTTAACTTTTCCATGACTCTGTTTCCTCATCTCTAAACTGGACAATAGTAGCATCTATAAATTAACAGGGTTGTACTTGTCAAATATTGAGCATTATATAAATGTTTCTATAGTTGTTAAAATAAATAAGACAGACACATATATTTTAAAATAATATTAAGTCAATGAACACAAAATTTAAAGAATTTAAACAATTGGACAGGAAATACTGAATCTTTTGACAAACTCAGAATACTCAGAATCTGAGTATATCAGCTTTGTTTAAAAATAAAAATACTCAAAGTATAAATATACAAAATCCATTGTATTTCTCTACACTAGCAATGAATTACTGAAAGTTGAAATAAAAAATCACATTTGCAAAGCATCAATCAACATGAAATACTTAGAGATTAATTAAATAGAGTATGTGTGAAACCTGCATAACGAAAACTACAAAACATTGCTGAAGGAAATTAAAGATGATCTAAATACACAGGGAGGTGCTTCATGTTCATAGATTAAAAGACTCCATAATTGTTAAGACATTAATTCTTCCCAATTGATTTAGAGATTCAGTGCAAACCCAGTCAAAATCCCAAAATCTCAGCAGGTAATTTTGTAGAGATTGACAAGTTGATTCTAAAATTAGTATGGAAAAGTAAAGAACCCAGAAAAATCAAAATAATCTTTAAAAAGAAGAATGAAGTTGGAGAAACCAAACTACCATATTTTTAAGACTCATGATAAAATTATGGTAACTAAGATTAGAAAAAAACATAAGGATAGACATACAGATCAATAAAACTGGACCTAAAAGCCAGAAACAGACTCACATATGCAAGGTCATTTAGTTTTCTACAAAGGTGCCAGTATACTTCAATGGGAGAAAGGAAAGCCTTTTAAATAAATGGTGTAGAACAACAGGATATCCATGTATGATGATAAACTCAACCCTTACCTTGTATCCTAGACAAAAATTAATTTAATGTGGATCACTGAGCAAAATACAAGTGCTAAAAGTGTAATTATTTAGAAGGTGTTATGATTTGGATCTACACTATCCCCCTAAAACCTCATGTGTTCAAAGGTGGGGCTTCTGGAAAGTGATTGGATCATGGAGACTCTAGTTGATTTGCTGTTAGGAGGTAAGCCTGGTTGGAAGAGGTGTGTCACTGGGGGCGTGACCTGGAAGGGCATATTTCCCTCCCACATTCCACCCCTCTCTCTGCTTCCTGGCCACCATGACAGGAGCAGTTTTCCTCTACCCTTCCACCATGCTCCCTACCATGCAAGGATTGCAACTTCTAAAACATGAGCCAAAATAAACCTTTCCTCCTTTAAGTTGTGGATGTTGGGTATTGTTTCTCAGTGACAAGGAAAAGTGACTAAGATAGAAGGAGAAACTGATTTTCCAACCCTGAGTTAGGCAAAAACTTCTTAGAAGGTGCAGCCACCTGCCTCATAAGTGCAAGGTCCTGAGTTCAATCCCTGGTATCAAAAAAACCACAAAACCTTCTTAGGAGATATAACAATAACCATTGGGTTAGGAATGTAGGTAGAGTGCTTGCCTAGTATGTTCAAGGCCCTAGGTTCAATTCCCAAAACTGTAAAAACAAAAACAAAATGTTAATCAGTAAAAACATTAATAAATTGGGCTTCCTCAAAATTAGGAACTGTTCATCAAAAGACACTCAGGAAAACAAAAACATAAGCCACAAACTGGGAAATAATAGTTGTAAAATATGTGATTATGTGTCAAAAGTCACATAATCATATATTTACAATAGGTACACATTTCGAATCAAGGACTTGTATCCACAACATGTAAAGAACACTTAAAGTTCCATGATAAAATTATCAGTCCAAATAAAAAATGGATAAGAAATTTGAACACCTCACCAAAAAAGTATAAGAAACATGAAAAGATGCTCAACATTACTATTCACTAAGCAAATACCAATTCAAACCACAGTAAATTGGGCTGGGGATTTAGCTCAGTGCTGCCACCGCCTGCCTTGCAAGCACAAGGTCCTTAGTTCAAGCTCCCGTACAAACACACACACACACACACACACACACACAACAAAAACCATAGTAAGTTATCATCATACACTTAGTAGATTGCTAAAGTTAGAAAATACCAACAACACCAGAGGTGAGGATGAGTAACAAGTGGAAATCTGATATATTGCTAGTGAGAATACAAAATGCTAAGACTATTTAGAAAAGTATTAGGAATCTCTTATAAATACAGTCTTCCATATGACACAGCAATCCTACTTTTAGGTATATATCTAAGAAAAATGAAAACATACCCACTTAGACACTTAAATGTGAATATTCATAGCAGCTTAATTCATAATTGCCCCAAACTGGAAACAACTCAAATGTCTTAGTTACTTTCTCATTACTGGGACAAAATACCTTATACCCACATGTTAAAGAAGAAAAGGTTTATTTTTGCTCACAGTTTGTAGAAGTTTCAGTCCATTGTCAACTGATTCCAAGGCAGGATCGCATGGCAGAGGTACATGGCAGAAGAGAAACAGTTCATGGCATAATAGGAAGCAAGCAGAGTGACTTCCTTCTTCTTTCCCTTTTTTTTTTTTTTTTTTGGTACCGGGGATCGAACTCGGGTCCTTGTGCTTACAAGGCAGGCAGCAGAACCACTGAGCTAAATCCCCAGCCCCTTCTTTCCCTTTTTATTCCATCCAGACTACAAGCCTATTGATTGATGCCACCCACACCCAAGGCTGGGTCTTCCCTTTTTGGTAAATCTATCATTCACAGCAGAAATATGCTAAACCACTTGGTGGACTAATCCAGTATCACACACCCATGACCCAGTATTGCACACCATGATCCATGATCCATGATCCATTCTCAAAAGCCCCACCTCTGAGCACATAAAGCTTGGGGGGGGCATGTCTAGATATAAGCCATAACATCAAATGTGGCATATGCATACAATGGAATACTACTCCACAATAAAGCAACAAACTATTGACACATGTAACAACACGAACAAATCTCAAAAAACCACTATTGGGTTAAAAAGGGAAGAATTCATATTGTATAACTCCACTTATATGACATACTGAAAAAGGCAAATATATGGTGGCATAGAACAGCAGAGATTACCAGGAACTGGGGTTGAGGAGAAGAGATTCGACCATAAAGGAATGGAATATTTAAGGGTGCTAGAAATGTTCTATGTTCTAATGTGGTAGCAGTTACTTAGCTATATCAATTTGTCAAAAGTCACATAATCATATACTTACAATGGGTATACTTTATAAATACCCCAATAGACCTAACTTTTTAAAACTAATTTCAGGGGTGGGGAGGTAGCTCACTGGCACAGTGCCTGCCTGGCAAGTGCAAGGTCCTGAGTTGGATCCCCAGTACCACCCCCCCAAAAAAGTAAAAAATAAATGAATTTCAAGATGTCTTTCAAGGGTCCACACTCTATTTTTTTTGTGTACTTTAAATTCTGCCTAATAAACCTCTTTATGCCTCTCAAACTAATTAAAAAAAAACCCAATGACAATCATTAACCTTACAAACTTATTCTCTTTAAGTATGGCCTCATATACAATGCAGAAGAATAACATTTATACCAGTCCCTCTTGTCTGCAGTTTCACTTTCTATAGTCAACTGTGTTCGAAACTACTAAGTGGAAAATTCCAAAAATAATTCAAAAGTTGTAAGTTGCACATCATTCTGAGCAATGTGATGAAATCTTGCACCATCTGCTCCTTCCTTCTGGGACATGAATCATCCCTTTGTCCATAGTTATCCATGTTCTATGTGCTACCTACCTCTTAATCATTTAATAGGCATCTCAGTTATCAGACTGACTTGTCATGATATGATAGTGCTTTGGTTTAAGTTATCCTTATTTTACTTAATAATAGCTTCAAAGCATAACAGTAATACCTGCAATTTGAATTTACCAAAAGAAGCCATAAATGATTCCTTTAGGGACAAAGGTAGAAGTTCTTGACTTCAAAAGTGAAGAAAAAAAATCATGTTGATATTGTTAAGATCTATAGTAAGCGTAACTCTTCTACCTGTGAAACTGTGAAGACAAGAAAATAAATTCATGTTAGTTTTGCTATTGCACCTCAAACTGCAAAAGGAATGACTAGAGTCCATGATAATTTCCCCATAAGGTCAACCTTGAACCTAACCATTGAATTTGATTAGGTTCTCATCCAACTCAGTTTGCAACTAAAATCATGGCAAGAATCAAGTTTGTGAACCGAGGTACCATTGTATTTTGTTAAGGTGGAAAAGGCATTAAACTATGAGATTCAGCTGGGGAGGTAGCTCAGTGATAGGTCACTTGTCTAGCATGCATGAGGCCCTTGGTTCAGTCCCCAATATGAAAAAAATATAGGCTTCAGTACTATCTTGTTTCTGTTTCAGGCATCCACGGGGTGGGGTGGGGGTGTCCATAGAAAAATGTGTTATATGAGAGAAATTGGAAACAATAAGAAAAGAAAGAATACCACCCATATATAAGTTTATCACTTAAATTTAGATGGCTGCAGAGGTCTCTGCTAAGGTTGTAGCCCAAGGCATGAACATTTTTACCTCTGAGTCCTTGCAAATTACTTAGTGCTTAGCAAATCATAGTCATTCACTGAAGCTTGTTTGAAGTGAACTTATGCTCTAAATACTAAAAGACATGTAGTCTAATTATTGCAGTGGGTTTGGCAGACTGGCTAACTCAACATGAATGGTTTGAACTGTGTGTCAAGTGTACCCAAGATTAATTCACTAGAAGGAATCATAGGACTTGGAAAAGGCTGTTATAATCAGCTATGGTTTATTATAATAAAAGGAATACAGATTAGAATCAGCAAGGGGAAAGGACACACAGGGAAAAACCCAGGAGAAATCAGGTGTAAGCTTCTAGTAGTCTTCTGCTCCTCTCCCAGACAGCGCTTAATTTCTCACAATGATAAGCAAAGTGCCCCTAACCAGGGAAGGTTACTTGAGCCTCAGTGTCCAGGATTAAGAAATCAAACACATGGGCATGTGCCCTCTATATAAATCATCTTAAGTATCTCAGCCACGTGGAAGTCAACTGACAGTGTAGCCCATAGTCTCAGGCATACAAAAACAGATCCTTGCTGTAAATCACACTATATGCATAATCTGTATAGCCAAACTGAGATAATATAGCTCAAGGCCTCAGGCATACAAACATTTATCAGACAAGCTATTCTACATTTCAGAGGCTATCTTCCAGAGCTGGTTGATGTGCAAGTTTTGAGTAACCCAAACCTGATGAATTAATTTTTAATTGAACAGACTATATAAATGTTTTAAAGACAGGGTAAATGATTAGATATGTATTCATCTATGTATATGTATAACATTCCCAGAATTTATGTCTTATATTTTATGTGCATGTATTTTTTCTAGGGAAAAGTTTCACAGCTTTCATCAGATTATCAAAGATCCCACCACTTAAAAAGTTTAAGAATCTAGGGAGAGGTCAAAAGATGGTGGAACAGGAAGCCACAGAACTTACTCTCCTAGAAACATTGACTTAACCACAATATATAGTTCAAAAATCTTTTAAGGGAACTCCAAAAACCAGTTAGAAAGTCACAGTAGAGCCAGAGATTTAGCTCAGTGGTTCTGCTGCCTGCCTCACAAGTGCAAGGACCCAAGTTCAATCCCCGGTACCAAAATAATAATAATAATAATAATAATAATAATAATAATAATAATAATAATAAAGAAAGTCACAGTAGACAGGCAAGTAAGTGTAGAGACAAGAACTATTGCATTGAAACCAAGAAGCTGTGGCTTTTGTATATGATTCTTCTTTCCCTACAAGCCAGGACACCTTAGTGTGATCAGAAAAAAATGCCCAATTCTTGGCTGCTCATTTGGGAGGGAAAGGGAATAGTGGACTATATGTCCCATGTTCTGGCTTTCTGGGAGACCTTCCAAGGCACTGTTTTCTGTTTTGTCTGACTCTTGAGTGCAGAGAAGTAACTGGCATACTTTTGATACTTGAGAACAAAGGAGAGCCTAGGCCAGTGATGGCGAACCTTTGAGAGACTACCAAACTGAAACCCAAAACCCACTTATTTAATGCAAAGTGACAACACTACAATTAAACTTGAAAGCTAAGATTTTCCTTTAGAAAAAACAACTCATACATTAACATCTTTTGTCTTAAAAAGAAAAACACTTAGCTTTCAATGATGCAAACAGCTTTTTAATGACAGGGAAAAGTTTGCATTTGGAATGCTTTTGCACAATTAATGTGATCTCTGCTGTTGTGTGCATGCTGATACTTTGTCAAACCTTGGCTAGTACTTCGTTAGTTTGAGAGCAACACATGCAGCACTCAAGTCATCTGTCAGTCTGTTTCTGGTATCAGATTTGATATCATTCAAAGCTGAAAATAGCTGCTCACAAGCATAAGATGATCCAGAGTAAGAAAAGCAACCCCAAGTGCTTTCATTGACTTAAAATTGTTTGGCAGAAAATTCCACACTTTAAAGATTTCATTTTCAAAACTACCAACTGTGCTGTCTTTTGTCATCCCTTCACACTCTATCTTCTCTGATGCAGATGATAGAATTTATTTTTCCAGACAGTTTTCTTAAAATTCTTTTAGCTCCAATTCCAGATTTTCAAAATCTAACCAGTGTAAGCAAGAAAGATCAAGTTCTTCAAATTTGGCTAGAGAAATAAGAAAACACAGGTTTGCTCCATCATATAGAACTGTAAAAACCTGTTACTAAAATTTTCCTTTGTAGCTGCTACAATGCTAGAAAATTCCTTATAGATTTCCTGATGGCTTGTAGGATTGTCTGCAAATGTTACATAATTTTTTAAATGCATTTTTAATTTGGAAAATATTTCAGCTGCCCACTTTCAGGATCTGAGCGACTTGGCTCACATGCCAACAGGGAGGGCTCTGCATGTCTGCTGCAGCACACATGCCATAGGTTCATCACCACTGGCCCAGGCGATGGTTTGGGGAAGACCAGAGAACCCATAGTATTGGCAACAAACACCAGAGAGAACAACAACAACAAAAAATTAAGGGCACCTGAAAAAAACTTTCTAATTGGGAAATTACATGTATAAGCTCAGAGAAATGCATCCCAGAAAAGATTTAAGAGGCCCACGCAATATGCAGTTAGGCTAATTGGTGAAGGTCTGTAAATACCAGAAGAGGTGTTTGTTTTTTCAGATGCCCACCTCCCAGCAAAAAAATATGAAGGCATATGAAGAAACAGGAAAATGTGGCCCAAAGGACTCAGATAAAGCTCTAGAAGTGGATCCCAAAGAAACAGAGATCTATTTAGTCACCTAACAAAGAATTGAAAAGAATTATCTTAAAAGAGCTCAAACAAGCTATAAGAGAACAGAGACAACTAAGGGAAACCAAGATAACAGTGCATGAATAAAATGAGAATATTAACATAGACATAGAAACTATAAAAAAGAACCAAAAGGGCCTGGGGATTTAGCTCAGTGGTTCCGCTGCCTGCCTTGCAAGCACAAGGACCTGACTTTGATCCCCGGTACCAAAAAAAAAAAAAAAAAGAACCAAACAGAATTTTTAGAATTGAAGACTATAATAACTAAAGTGAAAAATTTACTAGAGGGGGTCAACAGTAGATTTTATCAGGGCCGGGGATTTAGCTCAGTGGTTTCGCCACCTGCTGCACAAGGGCAAGGACCCAAGTTCGATCCCCAGTACCAAAAAAAAAAACCAGTAGATTTTATCAAGCAGAAAACTCAGTGAATTAAAAAACAAGTAATTTAAAATTATCAAGAGAGAGGAACAATAAATAAAAATGAATAAAAGTGAAGAAAACTTAAGAGAATTATAGAAAACTATCAAACAGATAAATAGATGTGTTATGGAACTACAAGACAAGAAATAAATAGTGGTCTATAACTTTCCAAATCTGAAAAGAAAATGGACATTCAAATTCGAGAAAGCCCAAAGGACTTCAAGTACAAGACTTGTCATAATCAAATAGTCAAAAGTGAAAGTCAAAGAAAGAATTTTGAAAGCAACAAAAGAAAAGCAACTCATCACATACAAGGTTCTGTAAGAGTATTAGTGGATTTCTCAGTAGAAAACCTTGCAGGCCAAAAAGGAATGTATGATGTGAGGACTTCATCAAAATTAAAACCTTTTGGCTGGGAGTGTAGCTCAATCAGAGTGCTTGCCTAGCATGCACAAGGCCTCGGTTTAATCCTCAGCACTGCAAAAACAAGCAAATGAATAAAACCTTTATTGCCTCAAAGTAAGGTAGGATAGAAGAAATAAAAGATAGGTAGAAAGGAGACAAGGAAATCATATCTAAAGTATTGTACTTTTAAGAAGACTGCAACTTCTGATATCCAGCCACAATTACCCAAAATGATCCATATCAGCATTCTGCTGGTTAAATTTAGGCTCCAGACTCATCATACCCCAAATTCCTCAGGAATACTGAAAGTCCATAAATTGGCTTAATTGAGAAAGTAAAGAGCAGGAATCTAATCCTAAAATGAAGAAACAGGTTGAGGGAATCCAAAGAATGTTTAAATTACCTATTCAAAAAAAATAAACAAACAAACTTGGCCCATACTTGTAAAATGGGCTAGTACCCTTCTCAGGGGGGTGGGGCACTTTTTATGGGGTTTCTACCAGTTCAAGAGAAGCATAAATGGTCCTCTTCCAGGAAATAATGTGCCCTCTCTCACGGGCTTGTACTCTACTTCTTTGAGTACATACTAAAATTTCTGCCTAAAAAACCATTCCCTTACTGATGTACCTGAAAATTTTTTTTTCCATGATGAAAGTCAGCAAACCTGTGAGCCCATTCTATGTTTAGTGTGGGTTAGGTTTCTTATCTCAGCTTCAGGAATCTCCTTGAACCTGTCCAGTGATATTTTCCAGTGACAAAAGAACATCATCAAGAAAGTGAAAACAACCCACAGGATGGGAGAAAATATTTGAAAATCATGTATCTGGTAAGGCATTTGTGTCCAGAACATATAAACAACTCTTACAATGCAACAAGAAAAAGATAAGCCATCCAGTTTAAAAATGGCCATAAGATTTGAATAGACATTTGTTCAAAGAAGATATACAAATGGCCAGGAAACAGATTAAAAGATGCTTAGCATCATTAGCCACTAGGAGAAAGCACATCAAAACTGCAATGAGATATTATTTCACACTACTATTTTTTAATGACAAGGCAAGGATGTGGAGAAATTAGAATACTCCTGGTATGAACATAAAATGATACTTTTCAGTTTGACAGTTCCTAAAAAAGTTAAAACAAAGAATCACCATATGATCTAGCAATATCACTCCTAGTATATACCCAAAAGCAAGGAAAAGATCTATCCACACAAAAACTTGTACCTGAAGGTGCATAGCAGGGTTATTCTAAACAGCAAAAAGGTAGAAGCAACCCAAATGTCCATCAGTTGATAGATATGCAGACAAAATGCAGCATACAATAAAATATTATTCAGCCATAAAAAAGTATATATGATAACATACATGAATATTATATTAAGTGAAAGAAAACAGGCACAAAAAGCCGTATTGTATAATTCCATTTATATGAAATATCCGGAATAGACAAGTCCATAGAGACAGAATGTATATCAATGGTTGACTGTGCCTAGGGGAGGGAGAAATGGAAAATGACTGCTAGTAAGCATGGGCTTCTTTTTGAGGTAGTGAAAATGTCATGGAATTAGGTGATGGTTGTACAACTCTGTGAATATTTAAAAAATACTGACTTGCATACCGTAAAGTGGTAAAAAAAAAAAATGTTTTTTTGAGACAGGGTCTCACTATGTATTACTGGCTGGCCTTGAACTTACTATGTTATGTATGTAGCCCAGGCTGGCCTTGAACTTCTCCTGCCTCAGCCTCCCAAGTGCTGGAATTATAGGCATGTGCCACCACCCCCAGCTAAAGTGGTAGATTGTCAATAAAATACATATAAAAAGAAGGAAAGCTTTCAGTATGTATACTAAAATAAAAAGATAGGGCTGGGGATTTAGCTCAGTGTTTTCGCCTCCTGCTGCGCAAGCGCAAGGACTCAAGTTCGATCCCTGGTACCAAAAAAAAAAAAAGTTAATGCAGAAGAAGATAATGGTTTCAACTCAGTATGAATGAAAAAATAATAAAATGGTTGACAGAAACAGGAGTTGCAATGTTTCTTTTAAAGGACCAATTCTGTTTTGCATAATATGAACGTATCCCAGTTAATCACTTGAGTAGTATTTAGGATTCTTCCGTGACATGAGTATTCTTTCAACATGTATTTACTGAGCATGTTTTATGTCTACATACCCTTTGACAAAAAAGGGATGTTGTTCCCAAGTTATTGAAAGTAGACATGTGCCTTGTATTTTCCCAGTGTTTCTTGAGGCAGTAAAATTTTCTGTGATTGGGCCGGGGATTTGGCTCAGTGGTTTCGCCACCTGCTGCGCAAACGCAAGGACCCAAGACCAAAACAAAAAAAACAAAAACAAAAAAATTTTCTGTGACTGAGGTTATCATAGTCCCTTGCACCTTAAGAATATGGCTTCCACAAAACTATGATTTCCTGGGAGGAAGATAGTTTCCTTTTGTATAAGTTCCTGAAAACCTCTAAATGATGCCTTCTTGTAATTCTTTTTTTCCCTTCCATTTTCAAAGCTATGTAGCTAATTTTTCTATGATGTCTTACACTTTCCAGCTAGTTAACCTTTCTCTTGTTAGGAAGAAAATTGGTTTTTGTTTGGTTGTTTTGTCAGAAGAGATGTTAGAAAAGCCTGCTTCATATTTTTTGTATTATGGTGTTTAGTTTATGGTAAGATCAAAAGAATTCTATGTCTTAAATTAGGGACCCTCTCAATCAGAGATCATTAATACAAATTTGATTAATCATTTGGTTACTATAAATTAAAGAAAAACACTTCTCTTGGGCCAGGGATTTAGCTCAGTGGTTCCGCTGCCTGCCTTGCAAGGGCAAAGACCTGAGTTCGATTCCCAGTACCAAAAAAAAAAAAAAAACACTTCTCATAGTGGTTCTCATAGAGCAGAAGCTGTAATATGGTCTCAGAGGAGTTCTAAATCTTTTTTGGTAACCAACATTTTTTAAGCACCAAGCAGCCAGGAGTGGTGGCACATGCCTGTAATCCCAGCACTCAGGAGGCTGAGGCAGGAGAATGGCCACAAGTTTGAGGCCAGCCTGGGCTACATAGTGAGTTTAAGGGCAGCCTGAACCACATAGCAAGGCCCTGTCTCAAAAAAACAAAAACAAACAAACAAACCAAGCACCAAGCAAATATACAAAGTAAAGGCCTCAAAATATGGGCAGTCAGGAGTGTAGTGAATTTTGAGCATCTTGACTTAGATCTCTGTGCAGATGTTCCATGTAGCAATCATGGAAAACTAGTTTAAAATCTATTTATTTTGAACTTTTTCTGTTAAGTGATAATCATTAAGAAGAATAACATCATTTTACATGACACCAAAACTACATATTCAGCAGAACACAGAACCAAGTAGCCAAAGATTTCTATAATGTTTGAGAATTCAGTATCTTCCCTGATATCATTTCTTAGTCTGGCCACTTGAGCAGGCAGCAGCCTGTCACTTACAGCCTCTTTCATTTCCTGTTCTAGTTCATTATACCTTAGGCTTCCCCAGAAGCACACAACCCATATGGAGATCCTCTGCCAGGCAGGAAAGCTCAATCTGAAGGAGGTAGAAATTGATACGCAACTCCGAGGGGGCATGAAGGCCACAATAAATTTCCACCTACATAGGGAATTTTATTTTGTAGGTTGACAGTGTGTGGGCATAAGCAGAAGGAGTTTATGTTTAGATCTTATAGTTGGGAGCTTTTTTCATATTGACTGGATGCTCTTTGGCTGTCAAAGGATGGATAAATTTCAGAAACTACAGTCAGGTTGGCAATTCTTTATCTTTGCCTTTTTCTCTTAAATATACCCTAAAGAAGTTAACAATATAGTCAGTTTACATTCACAGCTTTCATTCAAAAACTTCAGTTCTCTAAGTGGTTTCACCTCTCTTCTTCTTTGATTTGCAACCAGAATTGTGGAGGGAATTCTGCAACCAGAATTGTGAAATGAAGCCAGGCATGGGGGTGCATGCCTATAATCTCAGCACTCGGGAGGCTGAGGCAGGAAGACTGTTGTGAGTTTGAGGCCAGCATGGGCTATATAGTGAGTCCAAGGCTAGCCTGAACTACATAGTAAGACCTTGTCTCAAACTGGGGACCGGGGATTTAGCTCAGTGGTTCCGCCGCCTGCCTTGCAAGCGCAAGGTCCCGAGTTCGATCCCCAGTACCAAAAAAAAAAAAAAAAAAAAAAGACCTTGTCTCAAACCAAACCAAACCAGAATTGTTAAAAGAATTAGATTCATGGGCCGGGGATTTAGCTCAGTGGTTTTGCTGCCTGCTGCCCAAGTGCGAGGACCGGAGTTTGATCCCCGGTACCGAAAAGAATTAGATTCATGAACTGAAATACCACTGTACTTAAAATTCTAAGACTTCAGAATCACATTCATAAATACTTTTGGCCAGGCGTGGTGACACACATCTGTAATCCCAGCACTCAGGAGGCTGAGGCAGGAGGATTGTAGCAAGTTTGAGGCCAGCTTGGGTTACATAGTGAGTTCAAGGCCAGCCTGAACTACATAGTGAGACCCTGTCTCAATAAACAAACAAACAAAAAACAACAACAAACCCCAAAACCAAAACAAAACAATAAATATGCTTACCCCAAAAATCACATGGCTATTTGTGTTATTCAGTTTTCCATCACTGTGACCAAAATACTTGAGAGAAACAACTTATAAGGAGGAAAGATTTATTTCTAGCGGATGTTTTCAGAAGTATCAGTCCATTGTTGATTGGCTCCATTGTTTTGGGGTCCATGGGAAGGCAGAACATTAGGGCAGGGTGTGTGTGGTGGAGCAAAGCTGCTCACCTTGTCAGAGCAGGGAAGCAAAGAAAAAGACAGAAAAGGGATGAGGTCTCAATATCTCCTTAAAGGGTACACCCCCAGTGACCTAACTTCTTTCCACTAGGTCCCACCTCTTAAAGGTTCCACCATTCCCAATAGCATCACAGGCTGACAACCAATTTTAATATATAGGTCTTTGGGGGGGGCAATTAAGATCCAAACCACAACACTACTACATGTCCCAATGGCAACCAGAACAAAATACCATTCTAACAGAAAGGAGAGGGCTTGAAATTATGCAACTGGCATGAAAGAGCCACATTCAACTCAACCTTAGTGAGCAAGGAGACCAAGACGAAAGGGAGTCTCTACTCAGGTCTCTTCTTTACCATGAGGGAGGCACTTGGAATTGCAAAGGCAACTTTTAGCTTTCAGAAGTGTGTTGCTGCCAGAAGTGGAGAGAAAGTCTCTTACACCTCTTTTTCTTTTCTATTCTAAAGTGCTGAGCAAAAGGTCTATTTATATTGGCTTGAAGTAGCCTAACCATTGCCAAAGAACATAAAGGAAATTATATACATATGCTCTCTTCCTAAAATGCCACTTCCTTTGTGAAGCTATCTTGGTTCCTTATTCAGAATGTATAGCCTCTTTTCAAACTCTCTATCATATACTTTCTATTTCCATTAATATTTTCAAACTATTATGTTAATAATGTATTTACAGGTCTCCCTCTCTTGGTATACCACAAACTTCCACAGCTCAGGTATCAAGTCATTATCTCTCTGATTCCCACATTACCAAGTAGAGTGAGTGCTTTATAAATGGTAGGTGCAAGATAAATGATGAATGAATAAATAAATATGGTGTTGTCAGCTTCTTGATGACTTGAAGTTATGAGGACTTTGGGAGTTTTAGTAAAGGTGAAAGCAAATAGGATCGACATACCACCTTTTCTATTTATCCACTCTCTACACTCCAATCTCTTTTTTCTATATTTGGTATGATTGTGTGCACTGAAGAGGAAGATACCTCTACAGATGACCTTCTTAGAATAAATTTTATATTTGATATGTCTATTTTGATAACCTTCAAATATACCATCTTTGGAGAAGATTTCCAAGGTTAAGCTAAATTTGATGGACAAACTCCCAATTAGTGTAAGCAGACAACAGTAGTTCTGATGTCCGTGATGTAGTATTGCTACCAGATGCCTCAGAAAAATTCTGAGATTCTAAAAACTGAGAGTGCAACTCCACAAGATTCTACTAACCAGATGCTGCCTATACAAAGCAATCAAGAAGAGCAAAGAAGGCCAGGAACAATGACACATACCTGTAATTTTAGCTCCAGGAGGCTGAGGCAGGAGGATCACACATTCAAATCCATCTTGGGCAACTGGATTTAGTGACTTAGCAAGACACTGTCTCAACATAAAAAAATTTAAAAGGGGGGTGGGTGGGTTGGGAATGTAAGCTCAGTGCAAAGACCCTGTGTTCTGTTCCCTCTACTGGGGGGAAAAACAAAGAAGGAACATGAAATTCCTTTTAACTGAGAAGGAAAAATGGTCCTTAACATTTAAAGGATAAGCATCTAACTAGATACTGATTAATGAGGAATGATAAATGTTTTAGGTACACAGAGTCAAATGACACAGATGTTTCTAAAGAGAAAGGTTAAATTTGGCCAGTGAAAGTCAATTCAAGTAAGATTTTGCCGTCCTTTGCTCTTCACCTGTCTCATGTGTTATTTTACTTCTGGGTGTAAGGTTTGTAAAACTTTAAGAACTAGAGAATTTTGATCTTTTATAAAGTTGGAAATTTCTAAATAATGATCAATTTCTAGCACAATGCACATTTCCCTCTTCCCAAACAAACAAGATACTTGGCTTTGACAGGAACAATGTACCTTATCGCTGAAAAGAAAGGAGATGAAGAGGAGAAGGAAAAGGAGGAGGAAGGAAAGGAGGAGAAAGAAGAAAAGGAAGAGGAGGAAGAAAAAGAGGAGGAGGAGAAAGCAGCAGTAGTAGCGGAAAAATTGTTTGAATTTCATATAGCACTTTTGAGTTCATTAGGCCATTATCCCCAGAGTTGAATTTAATCAAAGAGTACAAGCTCAAAGTCTTTTAGTTGACAAGAAGCAAGTCTTTGGCTTGGGATTTCTATGTTTGAGTTGTAAATCTGGTTCAGAGAAAAGTAATCAGGAAGTAGCCTGGCTGGAGACAAGAAAGAGCCTTAAAATGAGAGATATGAGACCATGGATTGTATTTGTGACTTAGTCTCTTAACAAGCTTAGGGACCTTGAGCAAATTACTTAAACTCTCATTTGTGATGGAATAGTCTTTGATGATTTTTTTTTTTTTTTTTTGGTACTGGGGATTGAACTTGGGACCTTGCGCTTGCGAGGCAAGCGGTAGAACCACTGAGCTAAATCCCCAGCCCAGTCTTTGATGATTTCTAAAGCTCTCCTCTAGCTGTATGAATTTTTTAATTGTTGAACATTTTTCCTTAAGTCATTGATTAGTTCATTTAATTATCTATTTGAACACCTTCAATGAATATAATAAAAGAAGTAAAATTAACAAATCTCTCCCTCAAGAAATTGATGTGAGTAGGAAAGGTGAGGGGTTTATCCATATAGTAGTATAGTGACAAAGAGGGATGCTCATTCATCCACTCAGGTTCTAAACAAAAGTCACAAGAAGCCTAGGAAGAAACAAGCAGGGAAAATAGTACAAGAAACTCCAGAGAACCAAATAGGAGAAACAGAGGGTAATTTATTGTTTCAGTCCACAAATGTTTATTGAGTGCCCACTGTGTGCCAGGCACTATGATGAGTACTGGGGATCTTGGATTGGTAACTCAGCCAGGGTAGGCCTCTGATGAAGCTTATTTATATTCTGGTGGTGGAGAAAGACTAGGTGAACAAAGAAATGAAATCCAGATTGAGTAAATTCTGTGACAGTAAGAGAATAATACAACATAAGAGAGAATAAGTGCTTGTGAGTGGGATGGACTACCATTAGTAGAGGGCAGAAGGGAAAAGTCTTTGGATCCAGGGACAATTGACAGAGGTAAGACCAGTGGTAGGTGACAATTAGGACATCCAGTGTAGAGGGGCTAATGGTCCAGTCAAGGGAGTAAATTAATGCTGAGGCTAGAAAGAGCTGGTGCAAAAGATCACCTGTATGATTGGAACTTAAAAAGCAGTTCCTTTTGGAAAGTACAGGATCAAAACAGCACTCAACTGGAAGTGACTTTGCCCCTCAGGGGATATTTAGCAAAATATAGACACAGATTTTTTTGTTTGTTTTGTTTTGTTTTTTGGACAGTTGATAGCACTGGAGAAAAAACCCAGGACCCTATCTGTGCTAGGCAGGCTACACCCACTCCTCAGAGACAGTTTTGATTGTCCTGACTGGGGCGGGGGTGGGGGTGGGGGGTGGTTGTACAGTATTATTACTGAGGCTGAGAAAACTTATACTAAAGGAATTTTTCAGCCCAAATCGTAGTTTTAGTCATTATATTCTAAACTTGTGTTCTCATCAATTTGAATTTTTTTTCTTTTCCTCCAGGAACTAAAGAAGAACAGGTGTCAGGCAGCCCACTCTTTCATCAACTGTTCGTAAATCCCATTGGAGAGGTTCAAGGGACTTCAGGAACCTTTGAAAAGCATCACAAGGCACTAAATCTGTACTCAGACTCATGGGAAAGACTGAGGAGATACACACCCGGCTACTTCCTGGGCTGACCTCTAGGAAGGGATGAAGACAGGGGTAGGGGCTGGAGAAAATATTCAGGTTTTGGGTGCATAATGACACAATGCCAGTAGGAATCCAAAGTGGGCCCTCTAGCAGCGGAGAGGGGCGAGGTGCCCTGGAGGCCTGGAAAGCTCTGGACTCTCGAGCGCCATAGCCCTTCTGGTTGACCCCGGGACCCTTCAGGTTCTAGCCTCCCCTCCCCCACGCTGCCCCGCGCCGGCCTCAGCCTCCCTGGGACCACCTGGTCCGCCTCAGCCCCACGGGTCCTCGGGGCCTCACCTCGGCGGGCAGGAGCCTCCTCAGGAAGCCCGCGAGCAGGCTGTCATCCTATAAGCTGCCCAGGCAGGGCCGCCCCTGGCAGAAGGCACCGTCTGGGTCATTGTGCAGCCTTGCCTCCCCCAGTTTCCGAGGCGCTGCGAGCTCCACGCGGGTCCCTCAGGCCCAAGAGCGCGGCGGGAACTCAGGCCAGGGCGGGAGAGACGCGGCGCCGGAGGTCTGAGGGAGGCAGCCTGGGAGCCGGGCAGGCCAGGGGCCCCCAACCTCCGCTGGTCCTTTCTTTGCATATTCATGAGTCTGAGCGAGGCCAGCCGGCCGGCTAGCCTTGGAGATATAATGAATTATTCATCAGGAAGTATCTGGCCCCGCCCAGGGAAGCCTCATTGATTATTCATGAGTCCGAAGGGGTGGGCTGCTGGTGCTGGAAAAATCCGTTGAGTCCGGGCGAGAGCAAGGGGTCGACCAGCGGAGGTGAGCTCTGTCCAGATGCGAGATCTCTGGAGGAAAGAGCGCTTGAGGTGTTGTTCGTTCTTTGGTCTTCAGGTTAAAAGTTTTTTTTTCTTTTCTTTTCACCTGATACTTTTGGTTTTATTTGTATTTTTGTGGGGGTCAAAAATATTTTGAGGAGAAGGGAAAACTCCGAGGCTGAGGAAGACCGGGCGGGACTCTGGATACGTACTCCTTTCTCCCCAAATTTTACACACACCTCCCACCCACCCAACCAACCAATCAACAAAATAGAACAAAAACTAGGTAGCTTTAAGACTCAGTTTTGATAAAATGGAGGGCCGGGGATTTAGCTCAGTGGCACCGCACCTGCCTCGCAAGCTCAAGGCCATGAGTTCGATCTCCAGTACTGGAAAAAAAGGGGAGGGGGAGAAAATGGAGGAATTAATCTTGGTGAGATAGCAGCAGCCATGATTAGCTGCCAAGGGGTTTATCAGGCTGACGTCTGTGGGCTGGAAAGAGTTGTATGTGGAGCTTTTGGGGTTTATATTACCTGTCTCCAGTCATTGACATGTTCTGCCATAATCAATTCCTGGTGCAGACCGAGAGATGAGAGAGGCGGCCACGAGTCCCCATAGGATGACGTGGGCTCCTCTTTTACCTTGTTAAGGATTTGCCATTTAATCTCTGTGGACTTTAGTTTTCCAAATATTACAGGGCAGGGAGTGTCTTGAAACTCAAGATTAGCCAATCAGCATAATGTGTTCAAGCATTGGATGGGCTGTGCCATACATCTTTTGCTCACTTGGTGAAAATGAAGTAAAAGCATGATTCTTGCCCCTACGTGGGTTTTAAATCTCATTGGGATGATAATCTAATTTCTTCTCCATTGGACCATAAATCTCTTGAGATGGGAACCATATTTTACATTTTATAATCCTGCACAATGCCTGGCACACTGTAGTTGCCTGATAAATGTTGAATGAATGAATCATTGAATTAGCATGAAAAAGACATTTAAAAATCAAAAGACCATGAATAAATACCAATTAATAGAGTGGAAACCACTTACCCTGAGTGAGCACAGAGTAGTGGAATTATCAGTGCCAAATGGAATTTGTTAAAGCAGTGAATAATAATTTATTGAAGCAAGCTCTGTGAAAGGTCTAAGTAACAGGGCAACTTTGGCAAATGAAATTCCTTTCTAAGCTTCACTTTCCTTTATAGTTCTGTGTTTTACATTTAAATCAGTGATCCATTATGAATTAATATTTATACGGCCTGACATGTAGGTTGAGACTATTTTCTTTCTTTTTCTTTATCTCTCCCTCCTTTCCCCTCTCCCCTCTCTCTTGTTCCAGCAGTACTTGTTGAAAAGACTATTCTTCTTCCCCTGAATTGGCTTTTCTTTCTTTTCTTTTTCTTTTTTTTAAATGAAAGGGTTGGATTAGAGGTAGAGGATATCTCTGGTCCCTTCCAGCTTTCTGAATCTTTTGAACCCACGTATGCTGATATACACTGTCTGAGCAGTCTCCTTTCCTATTATACCTATGTAAGGAAGGTCATCTAGTTGCATTTCAGAATCCAGCTATTGGATATTGTTCACTTACAGGAATGGAATTTTCTTGTAAAAATATGGTTTTGGAAGATTGGGAAGATGGGCAGAGAGCAATAGTAAGTAAAAAACTATTATCTTTGAGCAAACATAGACTCTGGCTCTTGCTTCACTTGGCACCCCCCCCCCCCAAGGTAGAAAAGGTGGTTTAGGTCTTAAGAAAACACCATCCAGTTAATCTTTATCTAAATCTTGGATTCATACATAGACAGGGTTTAAAAAAAGTAGTTATGCCACCATTTAAAACAAAACATTTGAGATGTAAGTCAAGAGGTAAGCCTGGAGTGAATTTTTTTTTTCAGAAAGAAGATGGAAATCTTTCCTCTTTTCAGGAAGATCATAATCCTTGCCACAGTGTCTCAGAGAGGACACATCAAACATAAGAGTGATATTGATGCCCTCTCAAGTTTCAGGTGTTTGGATTCAATGTGCAAGTAAATAAGCAAAAAATATTTGAAAGTTAGAGTTCTATTCTTAAAATCCATAGTTATGAAAGCTCTTCTAGGTTTTAGATTTTGAATCAGAACAAGCTGATAGGAAAAAAACCACATCAAAGCTATTCTCTGAGACTGCATGATCTCTGGAGTCATATCTCCTAGGGCTGTCTGCTGGTGAGCTTTCAAAATTAAGCAGGCTTTGTATTTGAATAGGAGACCTCCTCAAAACACTTGCTCAAAGGGAAAAACAACAGTAGCAACAGAATAATTAGAGGTTGAAATGAGCCTTGTTGTTTTGAAAAACGATTTGAGTCTTTTTGCCTTCCTAAAGCAAACTCAGTCTAGAACACCAGAAAGAGATCCTACCATGGCAGGAACAAGCAAACAAGTTAGCCCAACAACTAGAGAGGCACTTGTAGTGCATCATGTTAGATGAATCAAAAGAGAGTGTTATTTTGGAGTTTTAGAAAAACTGTTGCATTGTGAGTTAAACTGCTTGCATTTTTAAGTCTCAGTTCTGCTGCTAAATGGCTGATTAACCTTAGGTAAGTCAGTGCTTTCTCTGGACTTTTATTTCCTCATCTGAGACATTAGATATTTGAATTAGATGACATTTAAAATCCCTCTTTCCTCTAAAATTTTGTGATTTTTTTTTCTAGACCCTTAATTCCTCTTTGTTTCTATAGTGCTTCTCTATTAATTCAGCAAATAGTTATTCAGCACCTAGTTTATTCCAGTACTGTGATGATGCTGAGGATTCAAGAATGAGCTAAACAAGAAATAAAAAGTCATATATTATTCAATTTCTATAAGCATCCAAAATAAGCAAATCTATAGAGATGAAAAGTAGATTAGTGGTTGCCAAGGGTTGAGGGAAAGAAAGAATGGGAGTGAATGCTAATGGGCTTAGGTTTTTTGTTTTGTTTTGTTTTTTAGGGGTGATAAAAATGTTCTGGAATTAGAGAGTGGCAATAGTTATATAACTTTGTGAATATACTAAAACCTTCTGAATTGCACCTTAAAGAAACTTTTTAAAAATGAAGAATAAGCTAGCTAGATACACTTTTGCCTTCAGGTTAGCTCATAATGTGTGGATGGACACATAAAGGCAACTTTGATACAGTATGTATTGCAATGGGCATGTAATTTGAACTTGGTAGTGGTGATAGTGGGAATTGGGAAATCATTCCTTGAGAAAATCATATGAAGCCATGTCCAGGAGATGAATAGGAATAAAGAATAAAAGAGGGTGATTCGTGTGCCACCTGCCTTGCAAGCACAAGGTCCCAAGTTCAATCCCTGGTACCAAAAAAAAAAAAGAAAAAAGAGGGTGATTCAGACAGAGGGAATATTGCCAAAATCTGAAAGCCAGGGAGGATATAGTCCTTTGGGGTAATTAGACTAGATAAGAATACCTAGTGCATAAAATTTCAAAGGAAAATGATGAGGCTAGGGAGCCATGAGCCAACTCTTGAAGCCATGGTAAGGAATCTGGATTTTTTTCTGAGGGCAGTGGGGAGTCATTGAAGTATTTTGGTCTGGGGAATAATACATAATTAAGTTTGCAATTTAAAAAGAAAGCTCTGGCTGCAACACAAAGAACAAATAGAGAAGGGTAAGACCAGTGACAGACAGAATGGTGGTTGCAGTAGTCCAGGCAAAAGATGTGGCTGGCTGGTGTAATCTTAAGTAGAGATAACAGTGTGGATAAAGTAAGAAGTGGACATAAAATCGAGAAATATTAAGATGATTGGACAGGGAAATAAAGAAGAAGTCAGTGTTGATATGTCTTGGGCTTGAACAATTAGGTGTTTGATGATGTCATTCACTTATTTAGTAAAGAGAGGGCCGGGGATTTAGCTCAGTGGTTCCGCCACCTGCCTCACAAGTGCAAGGGCCCGAGTTTGATCCCCGGTACAAAAAAAAAATTATTTAGTAAAGAGAAATGGATATTTTGGGGGGAAATCATTACATTTACATGTACTGGGAACATCAAACTAGATCTGTCTAACTGGTTAGAAGGTATGTATCAGCAACTCCCAAGAGTAACCTGGCCTGGCAAGATAGATGATAGATAGATGATAGATAGATAGAGAGATAGATAGACAGATAGATAGATGATAGATATCACTAGACCAGAAATAATAATTGAAACAGTGGGAGTGTATTTTTTCATTCAGGAAGTGTGTTTAAACAAATGAAAAGAAGAGCCCCTAGGACAAAATCTTGAATAACACCAAAATGGCAGGGGCAAAAAATGACAGAGGAAAAGAAGTCTAAAGAGGAGTGTGAGAAGGAGCAACTGGGAGAAATCAGGAGATTGAACATTAATATAAAATTTTTATTTTCATTTATTTGTTTGTGTGGTACTGGGAATTGAACCCAGGTTTTTTCATTGAGCTACATCCCCAGTCTTATTTTTTTCTTTTAAATTTTGACACAGTGTCTCACTAAGTTGCTAAATTGTCTAGGCTGGGCTCAAACTTGCAGTCCTCCTGCCTCAGCCTCCCAAAGTTCTAGAATTACAGGTGTGCAGCACCACATTCAGCTAATATAAGAGTTTTAAAAAGCAAACATGCTTTATTATATATAACGAAATGTGTATTAGAAAATGTTCCAAGTACTTTACAAATATGACCCATTTAATCCTTGAAATAACTCTAGGAGGTAGATATAATTATTACCTCTATTTTATAAATAGGGAAACTTGCACAAGGTCATGTGACAAGTCAGCTGCAGACTGTCATGTGATCCTAGGGTTCAGAAGAGTTCACATGCTTGACTACTATGCTATGTTACTTCTCCAGATAAACACATGCTTGGATAAACACTGAACAAGCCCTGAAAAATGATTCAAATCTGGATCTATTGTCTTCATTTTGCCAAAAGAAGACTAAGTCCCAGAGAAAATAAGCAATTTGGTCAAAGTCATACAACTGCTAGGTAGTGGTGTCAGAATTTGAACTCAGTTACCTTAATTCCAAAACCTCTTTCTACTAGCTTATATTGTGATTATTTTTCTCTGAATACATTTGTGTGCATAAAATGTAATTTTACTTATCTTACAAATACTAATTCCTAGAGGATTTACCAAATGCTAATAGAGCCTACCTCAAATCCTTTCTCAAAAGCAAATGCCTTGGATGTCTCAGAGCTTTCAGTGAAAATATCAATTTAATCCAGGCCATCCATGCATTCTAAAAATATAGGTGTAGTAATGCATTTTGTTCTGACTAATGCTATTTTTAGGGCTTGATTCTCTAGATATGCAATCAAGATAGCTTATGATCATAGAGAAATAACAACAACAATAAAACCCCACTAACATAGAAAGCTATTTAAAAATCATTATTTCCCTATTTATTGTCTCTAAAAGTAATAACTACCCCAGTAGGAGGTCATGGTTTAATGGTCTAGAACTAGAGCTTGAACTTATAGCTACTTTTCCCCTCTTCCTCATTTTATTCTTGAAATTTAAAGGAGGCAACAGAGCTGTTGAATCAGATTTGAAGGTTATACTCTGAAGTCAAAAAAGATACTTTGGCATTTTTAAGGACTAAAGGGCAATTAAGTAGTTTTCACTCTCATATAAAATATCATAATAGAGTGTCCCCTACTGCTGCTCTGAAGAAGTAATTTGAGAGAAATTAAATAGTACTTGTTTATAATCTCCATCACCACCTAGTGGCAGTGTCCTCAAGTAATTTTACCCTCTTTTATTGGCAAAAATCTTCCAGAAACTTGCATCAATAGTTAACAGAATGGGTCACAGGCTATCCCACAAATTCCATTAAGAATGGAATTTCTTTAAATAGGTTCTTTTACAAGTATTTTGGTGAGAATTCCATAAAACCTTGAAAAGAAACCCCAACTGAAATTAAATTAATTCCTTTAAAAAGAAAAGGGAAACTTCCTGCCTGCCTTTCTTTCTTTCTTTCTTTGTTTTTTTTTTTTTTTTTTGGTACCAGGAATCGAACTTGGGTCCTTGTGCTTGCGCAGAAGGCTGTGAAACTACTGAGCTAAATCCCCGGCCCTGTTTTTTTTTATTTGAGACAAGGTCTCACTATGTAGTTCAGAATAGACTTGAACTCACTGTGTAGCCCAGGCTAGCTTTGAACTCATGATGATCCTTCTGCCTCAGCCTCCTGAGTGGTGGGATTATGTGCACCATCACACCTGGCTATTACATTTTTAACTGTGGCAAACTATATGCAACATAAAACTCATCACTTTAGCCATTCTCAAGTGTACAATTTAATTTAGTGTTTTCAAGCACATTCACAGTGTTGTGCAACAATCACCATTATACATCTTTCAAAATGTTTTCATCATTTCAAATGGAAACTGCACCCATTAAATTCCCCATTCTTTCCACTCTTTTATCCTCTGACAACCTTTATGCTATTTCCTATCTCTATGAATTTACCTACTGTAGGTACTTCATATGTGAAATCCTGCAACATTTATCCTTTTATGTTTGGCCTTCTCATTTAGCACAATGTTTTCAAGGTTCATTTCCATTGTAATATCTATCAAAAACTCATTCTAAAAATTGGATAATATTCCCTTGTACATACCACATTTTGTTTACTCATTCATCCACTTTTTTTTTTGAGACCCAGGCTGTCCTTGAACTTCTAGGCTCAAGTGATTCTCTTGCCTCAACCTCCCCAGTAGCTGTGACTACTACCACCATACCCAGCTGTTTATCCATTCATCTGTTGACAGACATTTGGGTTGCTTGCATCTTTTGGTTATTGTGAATAATGCTGCGATAAACATTAGTGTACAAGTATCTGAGTTTCTGCTTTCAATTTTTTTTTTTTGGCTCTATACCTAGAATTGGAATTGCTAGGTACCATGATAATTTTGTTTAGCTTTATGAAGAAATGTCATACTGTTTTCCACAATGGCTGGATTATTTTATATTTTTTCCAGCAGTGGATAAGGGTTTTAATTTCTCCACATCTTCTTTAACACTTATTCTTTTGCATTTTTTGGAGTGGCCATCCTAATGAGTATGCTAACTTTTTTTGGTTTTGTTTTTGGGGGTACTGGGGATCGAACTCGGGTCCTTGCACTTGCAAGGCAGGCGGCGGAACCACTGAGCTAAATTCCCAGCCCCTTAAAGAACCCTGTTTCTTGTGTGTTTCTTTTTTTTGGTACCGGAGATCGAATTCGGGACCTCGAGCTTGTGAGGCAGGTGCTGGAACCACTGAGCTAAATCCTTGGCCCAACTGTACACTAACTTTTGAGTTTTTGAATTTGCGAATAATTTACACCTGAATTTAATTCTGGAAATGTTTTTGAGTTCTTGCTATATCCAGAGCACTGTTACGCTCTGGGGGAATAACAAAGATGAGTAAGATATATTGTTGAGTCTTCAGGTGACTTATACTTTATTTTTCTCTTCCTAACATATTTATGAATGAGCAAATGATCTTACAGTTTTCATTGGGTGGTTGAAAAAATTAATCCAGAGACCTTATGCCAGATACATAGAAAATTGGTAGTGGAAATTAAAATATTATTAAACTTATTTACCAAAACATACAGTCAGTTTACATTGTTCTCTTTTGGAAAATTCACATCAAGGATTTTTCCAACTCAAACTCATTTTATAGTTTAGATAGGGCCTGATAGGACTATTTCAGGGTTCATTTTTCCTTTGTGTCTTCAAAATTGAACTTGGTAAATTTTTCTCTAAATTGAACACTCTGGGGAACAAGTCATACGTAATTGTCTTTTATTTTAGTTTCTTGTTTGTGTTTAGAAGTTTTTAGTTTCACTTTGGGGCAGAGCAAGATAGGAAGTACTATGTTAGGCATGATCTCTAATTTTTTTTTAACAGATTATATTTGTTGAAAGAATCCTGAACTATTTCTACAATGTCAACTTTTCAGCTGTCTCGCTCCATCAGAAAAGAAAAGGCATCTAAGGTATTTGTTAAGAATTAAAAGAAAATCAATGACCATTTAATGAGTTACTTCAGAATCATGACTTTAATTTTTTTAGCAGTAGTCTTATCAGTTAATTGGGCACATAATATTCTTGGAGAGTATGTTTCTACATTTTAACTGCTTAATGGAGTAGCTATTCAGAAAATTAAGATAAAAAGTTATTTGTTTCATGTCTATATATTTAGACCTTCTAGAGTAAAAGAAATCAGAAACAAAAAGGCAAAGAGAATGGTTCTCTGTTATAGCTTTAGTTTCTGAAGCAATTAGAAAACTTGTGTTGTACATGGTGATGTAATTACAAGAACTAAAGGGGTGTTATGGCTTGGGTTTAGATGTCCCCTCAAAGCCTCAGTAGTCATAAGTGGGGCTTTTTCAGAGGTAGCTGGATGTAGAGTGTGTGACTGACTCATGGTACAGTGCTGGGATTAAGGGTGCTAGGATTGAGGGTGGGTAATTATTACATCAGTCCACTGATTGGTTTGGCACTGCCCTAATCCCGGTAGCCTAGATAGGATATAAAAGGTGCAGAAAAAAGCTGCTTGCTTTGCTACCTTCTGCCCACCATGAATTATTTCTCCTCTGTAGTGCTGGTCTGCCCTGCCACCTTCCCTTGGAGCCAGCTGAATATGGCTAAAATCTCTATAAACTGAGCTAAATAAATCTTTCCTCCCTTAACGTGTGGGTGTTGGGTATTTTGTCTCAGCAATGAGAAAAGTAACTAGCACAAGGGGAAAGAACTGAGAGAAACTTGGGTGCTCGGAGCCTGGGGAAATGTTAGTCAGCATTCTGTGGCTGTGACAAAATTCTTTTTTTGATACAGGGATCGAACTCAGGACCTTGTGCTTGCCAGGCAGGCACTGGCAACACTGAGCTAAATCCCCGCCCACAAAATTCTTGAGATAATCAACTTAAAAGGATGAAGAATTTATTTCGGCTCATAGTTTCAGAGGTTTTAGTCCAGAGTTGGTTGGTGCCATTGTATTGGGGCCTATGGCAGAACAGAGCATCATGTCAGGGTGTCTTAGTCACTTTTCTCCTTGCTGAGACACAATACTCAACACTCCCAACTTAAAGGAGAAAAGGTTTATTTTGGCTCAGAGTTTTAGAAGTTTCAGCCCATGGTCCATTGGCTCCAGGCGAAAGTGGCATGGTTGGAAGGGCCTCCAAAGAGGAAAGCTGCTCATCTCATGGTGACGGGGAAGCAGAGTGTTTAAGTGAGGAGTCAGGAAGAGGAGATATATCCTCCCAAGTCATGCTCATAGTGACTCACCTCTTCCAACCAGACCCCACCTCCTAATAGCAAGTCAGCTTTGCTATCCCATAACCCAGTCACCTTTGAAAAGCCCCACATATGAGCACATGAGGCCTTGAGGGGACATCTAAATATAACCCATAACACAGGGAATGTGTAGTAGTGCAAAGATGATCACTTCATTGCCACTGGGAAGCAGGAAGAGAGAGAGAGGGGAGGGGGCAGTGTCCCAATATCCCCTTTTAATAGCACTCCCCAAGTGACCTTACTTCCTTCTAGTAGACTCCACCTTCTAAAAGTTGCAACACCTCCCATTAGTGCCATGGTGAGCAAGCCTTTAATACATGGCCTTTGGAGGACATTTAAAATGTAAACCATAACAGGGAGCATTCCAGGGCCAGGCAACCTTGTTGTATTCACCCAGGCAAGTTTAGCTTGTCCTGGGACATTAATTCATCATTTTGTTTATTCATTGAGATACAATATTATATAATATGTATGTAATATTGTTATATTCTGTGATGATATTTAAAAAGACTTTCATCTTCCAGAAGTTTATAATGTAGTTAGGGAAATAAGATTTATAGGAGTTAAATCACTATACCTATATTTACATATATGTGAAAAAGACTATGACAACTCAAATTGTAGAAATTTAGAGATTTAGTATAGACTGCAATGGTTTGTATATTTCTCATGAAGAAGGTGGACTCAAGCTGGACTTTGAATGATGAAGGGGCAAAAAATGATGACATTCTCTCCTTTACCCACAAGGCAAATTCTAGACAGAGGAGAGAGAATTTCATGAGGGCAACCTAGCCTATGCCTTGGCTCAGAATAAGAAACCAGCATGGAGTAGTTCAGAGAATAACAAAGAACCCTTTCTTACTAGAGCGGAGAGCTCATCATGTTGGAAAGAAGGAAATAAAAGTGGATAAGAACTTTGGGAACAGATTATTGTGAACCTTAAAAGCTAAGCTAAGGAATTTATGCTTTATTCTATAGTTAATGGAAAGTCGGAGGGTTTGGTCAGAACAGTAAGTAAAATAATTGTTTTGGGAGTATTAAATTACACCAGATAGAAAAGATTGAAGTTGAAGGAGAAATAGGGCAGGGAGAAAGCAGTCATCTTTCTGGATTGATTTTAGTACACTGTACTCACAAAGCAGACTCTTGATCTCATTTGTTTTCCTAAGTGTGCTTTCTTACTGGGAGAAAATGATGAGGTGGGTATATGAATTGCAATCAGCTTAGCAGTTATTTTTCTCATTGTAAATTAACAAACTAACCTTTGATGTAACCAAATCTTTGTTGTTTGGACTATATGACCTACCTTTCCCAGTAAATTTTAAGTGACTGTGTGATTTTGTTATTTAGTACAAAAAACACTAATAGTAATTATGGAAGCCAACATTTATTCAGCACTTAACTTTGTTCCAGGCATTGTTCCAAGGGCTTTATATTATTATGCCAATTAAACCTTGCAATAAGGAAGAGACCAAAGCTCAGAGAAGTAAAATAACTTGCCCAAGGTCATGTAACTTGACAGCTAAACTGTTAAACATCACTAAGGCACTAGCACAATATAATATTGAAATAATTTTATAATACTGCTTTTTATTTTCTAGCTATGGTATTTTCATGTTCATTTGTAAAACATCAATAATAACCCTTAACATGGTAGACTAGCTGAGCTGAGGAAAAATATCCCTAGAGAAACAAAACTGTAGAGGCCGTTCCTAATTTCATTACTATAAATGGCCATTTGGATATTATATTTAAAGTAAATGTCTTTATACTTTCAAGTTAGCTTTATAAATGGGTTATTCAAGTATTGCCTCTATGTTTTGAAATGTTTTCAATAAGTAACTACATGCATACCATGCCAGCATTTCCCAATTACCCAAAATAACATTAATTCCTTAGGATTTATAGCA